TATTCTTTTTAAAAAGAAAAATTAAGTGGTTTTTTTTTTAATTTTTGAGAGACAGAGTGCAAGCAGGGAAGGGGCAGAAAGAGAGGAAGACACAAAATCCCAAGCAGGCTCCAGGCTCCAAGCTGTCAGCACAGAGCCCGACGCAGGGCTCGAACCCACAAACTGTGACACCATGACCTGAGCCGAGGTCAGTTGCTTAACCGACTGAGCCACCCAGGCGCCCCAGTGGCGTCCTACTCTTTAACCCTTCCTATATCCCCAGACGTTTTGTTGGCTTAGTTTCTTCCAAATGAAAAGTTCTCTATCTAGAAACCTCACTTCCAAGGTTGGGCAACCCAGTCCTTTACAGCCTACTCTAGGAATCAGCCAGGGTCATATAGGGGCTTCCGACACGGACTCTGCTTTCGAATTGTAACTTTGCCACTTGATACTGGGGGGCTTTGGACAAATGGCTTCACCTCTCTCTACCTTGCTGCTCACGTGTGTACAGAGGCAGGGGTGAGGACAGCGGTGCACAGCATCTAGGGTGGTCATGAGGAGTCAAGGAAAGGATGCTGTTCTGATCGTCCGACACAGATATGTGCAGAGCTCTTTGGGTTAAATCGTGCTGGCACACGTTATGTGCTTATTATTCATATTCTCGCACCGTGAATATTCAGTTTCATAGCAAGTGTTTGGTGCCCCCCTCACAGCAAGGGGTGAAACAGACCCACGGTGGGTGGAGAGTTATGATTTACTCTTTCCAGTCTGGATTGATGTGGGGCTCTTCCGAGGAGAGAGGTAAAAAGCGTCAGTCTCCCAGGGCAAAGCCATGTTCTAGAATCCAAAATGGCGGCGAACTGGGAGAATTTGCAATGAATTTATTTTTTAAATGCTTATTTATTTATTTCGAAGGGGGGAAAGGCAGAAAGAGAGGGAGAGAGAGAGAGAGAGAGAGAGAGAATCCCAAGCAGGCTCGATGCTGTCAGCACAGAGCCTGACGTGGGGCTCGATCTCACGAACCATGAGATCATGACCTGAGCCGAAACCAGGAGTCGGACGCTTAACCGACTGAGCCACCCAGGCGCCCCAACAATTAATTAGAACTAACAACTAGTTTCTCTTTCGTTTTCACAGACCCTGGCTGCTAGCATCCACCCTACCTCCCTCCACTCCCTAGCATGCTCTTTTGTGGTCCACATTCAGAAAGCAGCTCTCCCAAGCTCCTGGGACGTGTGCCTTTCTCCCTCTCCCTCTCCCTCCCCTCTCCAGATCCTGGTGGGAAAGGGGGAATTCCCCAGGGCAGGACAATGCCTGAAACTGGGAATTGGGCGTCTGAGAATCTCACACTGCCTCCTGCAGTCCTCGGAGCTTCTCCGTGGACTGCTTCTTGGAGGCAAGGACTCCGGCAGGATGGGTGAGACCTCACCAAGTCCAGAGATCCAGAAGGCGTAGGTCACTTCTTTCCATCAAATGCACACCCTGACCTTTCAGCTGCTGAAATGTCAGACAGCAACCACTGTCAGGCTTCTCCCCCGTTTCAGTGCTTAGTAGGCAGTGCCAGGAGGGGTGGGGAGGGCAGTCAGGATGAAGACTCCTGGTCAATTTTTCTGTGTCCGAATACATTTTCAATCCACTCAACTCTTTTTAAAAAGCCCAGGAGAAAGCGTCCTCCCAGGTGTCCCGGAGCACTTGGAACTGTAGGTGGCCATGCTCGCACATGGGGAAAGGACACAGGAGAAAGCTTTTAGCAGCAGGGAATGCCCAAGACCCCTACCCAACCTGCATTCAAGCCAAACACCAAAAATAGCGCTGTAAATAGCAAGATAGGAAGTTGGCCAAAGAATTCACGTCAGGAACACCAGTGGTGCTTAATGTTTGAAAAGCTGTCATTAAAGCAAAGCACGAATTCAGCACGCAGCCCATACCTGAGTGCCAGCTGCAAAAGCAAAAGAACTTGGTGCTAAAGGAGGTTCTCCCTAAAGGACTTTGCAGGGGATCATGGGTAGTGGCCTCTCAGAAGCAAATGACCTCTCGGAGAGCACGTGCTCTGGAGACCGGAAGCCTGGGTTGGGCACCATGTGCTTTGGAAGTGGAGCCTTCTGAGTTGTGGTCTTTTCATATGTAAAATAGGAGTAATTTGCCCTCGCCAGGCTTCCTGGGAGCGCAGCAAGGGTCAGATGAGGTGATGTTACAGCCCAAGGTCTTCTACGGTGTACAGGCGCACCTTAGTGTCCTCAAGCTCAGAGGACAGAAAGGGAGGGGGGACCGCAGGACTGTCCAGATCCAAAGGCGATGGGGATTTCTGAAGGTCACCTCTTCCTTAAGGTCACTGCTGCAGAGACACCCAGAGAGCTGAACTGAGAAAGAGCTGTTGGATGGCTCAGCAGAGGTGACCTTGTGTTTAGCGTCCAATTATGGTGGAGGTGGGGCCAAGTGCTGGGTTACAGGGATGAGGCGATGTTGGTGTGGCCCAGCCCACGGCGTGGCCGTTAACTGTCCACGGAGCTCCAAGTGGCCTTGGCGGCAAAAGGAGAAGACGCACCCAACCTGTTTTCTTTTCTGTTTTTCCTTATTAGAGTGAATTTTATTTTATTTTATTTTTTTTATTTCAGATTTTTTATTTTTTTTCTCTATTTTTTTAAATATATGAAATTTATTGTCAAATTGGTTTCCATACAACACCCAGTGCTCATCCCAAAAGGTGCCCTCCTCAATGCCCATCACCCACCGTCCCCTCCCTCCCACCCCCCATCAACCCTCAGTTTGTTCTCAGTTTTTAAGAGTCTCTTATGCTTTGGCTCTCTCCCACTCTAACCTCTTTTTTTTCCCCTTCCCCTCCCCCATGGGTTTCTGTTAAGTTTCTCAGGATCCACGTAAGAGTGAAAACATGGTATCTGTCTGTCTCTGTATGGCTTATTTCACTTAGCATCACACTCTCCAGTTCCATCCACGTTCCTACAAAGGGCCACATTTCATTCTTTCTCATTGCCACATAGTCTTCCATTGTGTATATAAACCATAATTTCTTTATCCATTCATCAGTTGATGGACATTTAGGCTCTTTCCATAATTTGGATATTGTTGAAAGCACTGCTATAAACATTGGGGTACAAGTGCCCCTATACATCAGCATCCTGTATCCCGTGGGTAAATTCCTAGCAGTGCTACTGCTGGGTCATAGAGTAGG